TCAGGCTTCCCTGAAAAGGATTCAAGTGGCATAAAATGGTTTGTTTCTCCACAGCAATTTACATTTATTAAAATAGATAATAGGCATAATCATTGCTTCATCATGATTTTAAGTGATCCAAATGCCTCACTGGGATAACCTGCATCATTATTGCTTCGTGGTACTAGGTGGATCACAGTCTTTTCTTTTTACTTGATGAAGGATTAAATAATTTTCTGTTTTAATGCCATGGTTTCCTTTAAGAATTGAAATATACTCACTTTCTCAAATTAAATAAGTGTAGGCAAAACACAACGTATACCCTTTCTAAGGAGTCACTATAATCCCTCAAAATCTCTATTGTCAGCTTTGATGCACCCCAAAAGATCAAAATGCCTTGCTCTCTAAGATGTATATCTCAACAGAGCAGCTGTTTCATTTCAAGAGATTCTTCATTTTTTTTTAAGTGATAAGCTTACAAGTAGTAGTTAGTGGTACAGGAAATCTTATGACACCTATACAGAAGTTGCAAATTTTGCAGATGGGGTCAGTACTCTCTGGATAATCATTAAAAATCTTGAGGTCTAGAATAGCGTTTGGAGCATAATTTGACCTCAATTATGTGTTAAATGTTTGCTGAAGAAATGGTGATGCTTTGAGAAAATTAGCTATTTGAAGCATGAGACCAGAGTGGAACTGAAAGAAAAAAATTAAAATTAAACTGGTTCACTTATCGAAAAGCAAAGCCACAGAGAAAGGGGACCAATAACAGCATCCTCTTCATTCCCTTTTGATTAAGGCTGCAGGCTTATGAGGGGACAGGAAGCTGGGAGAATCTCAAGATAGGAAAATGCAGTCCTCAAATGCCACAGCTCAAGTGGAATGCTCCAGCCTACTGTCTCCAATGGAGAAGAACAATCTGCAGATTGACAAAGCCCTCTGTTTACACTCCTGAACAAATAAACTAATTGTGCCTTTGTTTTTAACCTAACAAATCATAGCCTGACTACAGGTCATTAGTGACCATTAATATGTGAAACTGTTTGCATTTCACTAGTATATCTGAATAACAGTCTTGCCTTTCACACTAGCTCAGTCAAGTTTCCAAAAGGAAAGCCCTGTTATCAGGCCATGAGCAGGACTTAAATTAACAATTAGCCTCTGGAATTGAACTATAATGCAGAAGAATTCATTATTTTGATTCATTGTGGTTCCACCTACTGTAGAACCAGTCTTTGCCTTTGTAGTGGAGACATGCTCTTTGTGCCAAAAGATTGTGTGACCACCTCTCTCCAAACATTCTCAACAATTCCCAATGACTGCTAATGTGTTGGCCAGCAACATGGACCTGCTTACGGGACAATTGTACAGACTGTCCTAAGTTCACAATACAATGGCTGATTAGAGTCCAGATAAATGCAGGGAGCACACTGGGAATTACCAGAAACATAGAAGTGACAGGAAAAAGGTCTATTTGGCAAAAAAGTGGAGGCAGAGTAGAGAGTATGTATACCTGAGTGAACCTGGTAATCTAGAATTTTTTAAAGTGCAATTGGAGCTTTGGATTATCCGCATTAAGAGGCAAGAGTCTTCAAAGGAATTGGATAATTGCCAAGCCTCCATTTCATTTTGTGCTGAGCAGTCACAGAGGGGCATGGAGTGATTAACAGAGATTAAAGATCTTAGGAATGTTTGAGAACTTTCTAACATAGCAGTTGCCATTTAGGAGCAAACCCATGGTCCATCTTATCTAATGTTCTGTTGCTTCAAAAAATGTCCCCTAGGAAATGCCACTTTTGACTAATGTGTTGAGGCCATAGAATTAGAGGCATTGCTAACAAATCAAGAAATGGCAGCCCATATATTGCTGCAATCATTTTTACTTTTTATTCTGGACTAGCTACCAACCACGTGATTCATGCCCCAGTTTAAAATGCATAATGATAGTATAGAGTTCCATGTAGTTTAAAAAGTCCTTTCAATCCATTATCCTGCTCATCTTTTATCAGCTTATGAAAGCTAGATTATGAATAGTATAGTAATAGTGCAAAACACAGGTTCTAAGTTAAACTTGTCTGTTTTCAAATCCTGGCTTTTCTACTGCTAATAAGGTGACTTTGAGCAAGTTTCTTAACCTTTCTGAGTTTCTCTTTGCTTATCTGTCAAACAGATAATAATGGTGCCTACCTCAAAAGGTGATTTCAAAACCCTAATTAGGTAACTAATGCATGGAAAGGGCTTAGTACACTACATGGCACATAATTAGTGCTCAATAAATATTAACTGCTATCATTTGTTTTCCACCAGTAGCAGTATCCACTATGGCCACCATCTCCATATCCCACAGAATGATAAGGAAAATAAAATATCTAAGATAGACTTTTTCCTAAAGTCACCCAATTACTAAATAACTGAGGTGGGACTAACCATCGTCTTGACTACCATTCTCCCTGCTTGGAATACTTTTCATTCTTCTTCCCTCCTCCTCAGCCTTCAGGTCTCAGTTTAGCCATCTGCTTCCTCATGAGCACTTCTTATGTCATTTCACAGTCCCTTGTACTTCCTTCATCAGAGAACCTCTCATTCTGCATTATAATTGCCTGTTGTCCTGCATGTGTCCCCTACTAAACCACAAGTTCTTTAACAGTAGAGACCAGGTCTACATACTAAACCTTTGCATCCCCAGCACCGAGTACAGCATCAGACACATAGTAAGTGCACAATAAATACTTAATAAGTAAAAAGATGGATGCTAGACTCTTTATTACCAATCTGCTGACACACATTAAATTATTATTTTGCACTGGAACGGATTTTAGAAAATCAGAGAGAGCCCTACATGGCTTCATGTCTTATACTGCTCTTAAATGATCATAATCTCACGTCAAAATTCAAGGCAATTTTTAAAATACATAATATGTTACATATTTATGGGGTACACGTGATATTTTATTACATGCATAGAATGTATAATGATCAAGTTATAGTATTTGGGTTATCGATCACCTTGAGAATTTATTATTTCTATGTGTTGGGAACATTTCAAATTCCCCCTTCTAGCTTTTTTGAAATATGCAATACATTGTTGCTAACTACAGTCATGTACTCTATCAAACATTAGAAGTTATACCTTTTATCTAACTGTATATTTGTACATATTGACCAACCTCTTTTCATCAAGGCTGTCTCAAATTCTAATAGATTCAATTTCTGAAGAAAGTAACTAAACTTGTGAAAAATGACACCTTGAAGTGACTCTTAACATTCTATTAAAACCCAGACATGTGTGTGTACACACACACTCACCTCGTACCTCACACTTATCACTAAGCTGTGCATGATGCTTATATAGTCACTCTCAAAATTTGGAGAAGGGCACTGTCTTTGTACTTTGAAGGGATTTTTCAGAAACATTTGGACTTGATGAGGCACAGTGAAAAGCAGGTATTTATCCTGGCTATTCTTCACAATAAACTCTTAAAATTTGGAATCTGAACTGTCTCACAGTTTTTATGTTTTTAGAAATTTTGAGTCTGATATAACACAAGTCATAAAATTTGACCAAATAACAAAATACTTTTTTCTCCCTCCATCTTGGAGGAGGAATAAGGGGCATAAAAGTTGGAAGCTCCAGGGAAATCTACTCAAAGCTATTCAGTTTCATCTCATTAAAGCAACATCATCAAGGGCAAACCAAATAAAACTCAAACCCCCAATCAGTATTATATTAAAATGCACTGAAAGTGTTACTTCGTTGGTAGGAATGAAAAAAAAAATCGTACATTGAAATTACAACAGATATAAGCCTTTTATTCAATTGGACCAGACAGCAAAAGGTAATTTTTCAATAGCAAGGGAAGAGCTGAACTCTACCTCACATCACCAACATTATTTAAAAACAAACCCTGCTCTTTTATTATTTTATATAAAAACATTAAGAAATATCACCTGCATAGAGTCTATATAAATGTATAATGCTAACATTGCATAGTTCCCTTAGGACACAAATGCCTCACACATCTTTATCCATAGTCTGATGGAAAATATTCACAAACTTATATGCATACACATATGCATACACATACACAATATACATACACATACACACATACCTGCTTTTTGTTTTCTTCCCTTTTTGATCTGTGACCACCTTTTAAATTTCATTAGCTCTATGATAAAATATTTATCTAGAGCCTTTTTCCCCATTCGTTCCTTTTATTAAAGGGAGCTCTTCTGAATGTTGTACTCTTTGATCTGTCTCAGGGTTCATACAAACTCTGCTACAAACTCCACCTCTAAAGAGAATCTCTGATGATTCTTTTTCTTAAATCGAAATATAGTTCTTTTGTATTAAGTTTTATTTTCCATTACCACAAAATATAGCCAAGTGTGGAGGCTATAAAGCTAAAGCTTCACCACACACCGTATCGAGAAATGAATAAAAAAGCCTAGTAGAAGCCTCCATGCTACTTCATCCAAATCAAGTGTAACTACTTAGGAGTTAATAATGAAAGGACTTTAGAATATTTGATACAGGTGAGGAGTTGTTTTTCCTACACAGTGATTTCTAGATCTATTTTCTCATTGGAAATTACCCGTTCAGTGATACTTTTATTTTTCGTTATATTCAAAGTAAGATGCCCATATTGTCTTTCTTTGCCTCTTGACCCCAAAAGCTCTTTTTCTTTGTTTGAGCAGTTAATACATTTACCTTCTTCTCTAGTTTATTCGACAAACCTAACATCAATAAAGCAGGCTCTATTCTTGTTTAGCCAACACTTTCTCTCCTGGTAATTTTATAACCAATGATAATGTATCATCCCCATGTACATTTGGTCAAAATATGCTCTTGTTCTTAAAACAATAAATCAAATTATGCTTCCTATGTACAATAATTATTTTAAAAATGTAAATTAACTTATTTGTGTCCCACGGAACAACTTTTAAGCAATTGGAACTATTTAACACTTCTATACTGCTACTTTATCAAGAAGAGTAGGTATAAATAATAATACGAATACCTTTATTTCCATAGGTGTTTTCATCTGGATAATTCATGCTTCATTATTGTGCCACTATTCTCTGTCTTGGGTTCTCCCTTGGCTCCTGTGACAAACATGGGGTTCAGATCCAGACTCCAGGAGGTAGCGATGCTTCAACTTTTGGTAACATACAGGTGCATTTACACACTCTCCACATACCCCCTACCATCTCTTTGGGAGAGTTTGCTCCTGGCCTGTCAAAATCCAGGCTAACAAGGTAACACAATCAACACTGTAAAAGCTCCCTTGCCTCAGCCCCGTCGACCTGAAATGAACTGTCTTCTCACTTGAGAAGACAGACGTAGAGCCGTGGGTCTCAAAGTGTTGCTCGTGATCATCATTAGCAACAGTAGGATTACCTGGGAAACTGAAAGAATCAAACTCACAGGCCTACAGACCTATCCTAAGCTTGACGGGGTGGAGCCTGGAAGTTTGTCTTTAACAAACACGTCAGGTGGTTCTAATGCACGTTAAAGTTTGAAAACAGCTGCTGTATGGCATCTAGGGAGTTTTGAAGAGGCTGTAGTGATTAGGAGGGCTGGCTTCATATAGCCAAAGCGGGGTCCTGTGGACAGGATACTCAGTGTTTGGGGTAAGGTTTTATGGTGCAGGGCTAGGAGCAGTGGGTGAAAGAGAGAATGCTCTGGTGCAGAACAACTTTTATGCAATAGGAACTATTCAGGAGCAGAAGCAAGTCACCTCACTCATTAGAAATAGCCCCCTTTCTCTGCAAGAGTTCAGAAGTTAAGAGGTTATACCCTATGAGAAGCTATGAACAAGGTAATATAAGAAGAAATATTCAAAATAAACATGTAAGATTTAAAAAAAAAAAGGCCTTAATGGAAAGCTTCAACATACCACTAATATAGAAAAAAAGGTTCATAATTAATCCATTATTGTTAATTTTTTAGTATCTTAAAGTTATTATCCTTAAATATCCTGATGGTGCATGGAGCAGATAATGAATTTTATTTTCCTCAATGCTTCATTTCATATTCAGAAAAAGGCAGCAGTTTGTTTAGATTGACACAAGAATCCAACCTAACAGATTATGTTTGTTATTTAAAGGAGATCAAATCACCACCAGCCAGTACTGACACTGGATCAAAGATTAAGGTTAGTGTATTAACTTATTTGTCCTCTGTTTTGTGAACAACTGTCTTTCAACAGTAATATCTTAAGGCATATACATAAGTGTACTAATATTAATGAAAATACAGCCTAACATTATTTAGCAATTACTACCTACTATGTTCCTGGGACTGTCCTGAGCACATTACAGGCACTGTTACTTTTAATACTTACAATAGCCTTATGAGGTTAAGCACTGTTGTCTTCATTTCACAGATGAGGCACCTGAGCTTAGCGAGGTTAAATAACTTGCCCGAGAACTAGTAAGTGATGGGGCCAGGATACAAACCCAGTCATCTCCAGAGTCTGTTTTCTTGACTACTTTTTTTCACATTATTCTAAACTCTAGGGTTGGGAGCGTAAAAGTGCACATAGTCCATTGCAAATAATGCTTATGACCACTTAAGTCATCTAAAACTACTAAAAACAACCAACTACTCACTGAATGCTTAATCTGTGTCAGGGACTGAACTAGCCATATACAAGTATTATATCACTTAATCCTCACAACAACCATGGAAGGTAGTTACTACTATTGTCTTAAGTTTACATAGGGTTAACTGCAGTAAGAGGATTTAAGTAATGAGCCCATCTTTTTGTCAAAGATTTCACTGCTTACGTAATAAAATGGAAATGAGGCAAAAAATACACATAATACTCAGTAAATGTTGCTTTTCTGTCCTTGTGTTAGTTTCTGGGGATCAGAATCGTGTTGGTGATGATCAATCCATTGTTTTTCTTACCTATTTTCTTGCTGATTCCAAATGGTAGATATCTGTGAGTTAGATATTTGGGCGCAATATACAGCCATGACATAGAACTAAATCCATTGGCTTTTCTATGTCTTTATTATCACCAAACCCTAGCGCTTTAAGGCTTGCACCACTGTCCAGGAATGTGGTTCCAGAGACTCTTCCACTTGGCAAGAGTAACCATGAGTGACTTTAGGAATGAGACACAACCCTGCCTAAGCCCCAAAATCAAAGGTGTAAGGCACACCAAGTTGTTCCACCCAAAGAAACTTGTGCTAAAAATGTTAGTGGTCAATGCCTTACAGAGAGTCAGCAAGCAGATGCACTTTTTTCCAAGACTGTAAGATTTCATCTAGTTAGGAGTTTATTGATGTATCTCATATTCTGATATCACAGAAACAGCTTGATTTTATGAATCAATCTCTAAACCTCAGTCTTCTCTCCACCATAAACTGGCATGTGATCATAGGCAAGTTGATTAACTCCACTGGATCTCAGTTTTCTAACTGAGAAAATGAGAAGAAAGGCAATTTACTCTTTATGTTTGTTGTGCAGAGTAAACAAGAGCTGTGAAAATACTTTGCAGAAATACAAACCCCTCCACAAGTACAAGATGGCATTACCACTTTATATAACTCCTTCCTTGCCTAATATTTAGCTGCTAATGTATCAACCTGTTTGGTGAAGTTGGTTTACTGATGAACTAATTTAAAAGCCAGAGGAAGGGGGAATTCTTTAGAGTTGAAAACTATCAGCAGTGCCAAAGACAAGTGAACTATTTGATCAGTTGTTTTGATGGTTAAGAGAGTAAAATATGACCTGAGTAACCAAATAATCTGCATGTGGCAAACCCCTGTGACATGCAACTTAGAGATCTAACAATCCTGCACAGGTACTTCTAAACCCAAAACAAAAATTTTATAAAAAGGAGTCAAGAGCCAGTAAACTTGGCAAACCCCCAGATAAGTTCATGTTGGTATGAAATAGCCTGAGAAACCTTTCTGTGAAAGCAACGAGGAATATCACTAAACTACCATGTAAATGAACAGTACATAAATAGCAGCTCAACAACATGGGCTCAATGTAGCAAAGATGCCTTTGGGTTTCTATTCAAATTTCAAGGTACCAAGTCTCTTGCTTGTCTACATTAGAGAGTAGAATGTGGCCTATCTGTAGATTAAAACATCAGGGAAAGGAGGTAGTATGAAAGACAGTTTTGTGTAAGGAAAAAAGAGAAATTCTATCTGAAGTTTACCTTGAAGAGATGAAGAAAATATGGTATTTAGCACTATTAAGTATTTTTACATCTTAATGGAGAGATTCAACCAAAAGATATAAGAGCAAAGACACAAAAATCAGGAAAACAATTTTTTTTCTAGTGATTTTACCTTTATCTTGGTCTATGGTTTCCTCTCAAGGTATCTAGCAGATTAAAATTGCTTTGTGATGTGACACCACCATTCTGCTTTTCCTTTTACAGCTCTCATCTTGAAATGTTTTATAGGTCCACACAAATAGGTAAAACAAAAGCAATCATGCTATTTTAAGTATACATTCTCCCTGGGCCTATCAAATTTAGAAAAACATATTCACTCTTTCAAGTTGCTAGTTGTGGCTTGAACTGATTGCTTGATTAATCACTCAAACTCTGGCTCTAGACCATCTTACCCACGTTCCCTTTTCAGTATACCAAAAACAGAGGTCATGAGGTTGCTTAGATCATGAAACCAAGGAAGGAAATCAAGCCTTTGACACAGAAAACACACCACACTTTCTAAAGCCAAGATCGTCTCATGAGTGGATGGTAGTATTCTCCCATGTTTCTCTGACAAAATGTACCCATACTCTGTCACTAACAGCCTCATTGCAATACACTACACTTGCCCAGCTGCCCCATGCGCAGACCTCTCCAGTAGGTCCGATAGTCACTAATCCACTGATTAAACATTTTAAAACTGGCTTTGGCAAAACATGCCAGAAATTCCTTCAGGGTAATTAAAACCACCCTCTGTGTCAATAAACACAGACTGAAATCTTTCATGTGCAGAGGGGCTGGCTCTGACTCACTGGCTCTAGGACATTTTTTCTTAGATGGGTTTTCCATCATTGCAATTGATTTTCACTGACTCATCCAGACCATTGCTTAGTCCCCCTTATAAAATGATAGACTGAAGTAAGAGATATCGTCTTACCTTTCTTGTTGCAGCCAAGAGGTAAGGACCAAAGAGGCTATAAACCTGAGGGTCAGGCTCATTGCCAAAGCCCTTTCACCTAGATCTTCAGGTGAGAGACCTTAAAAAGGATTCTTACTATAGAATCTGACAGTCAGTGTTCACTTATCACTCTTCTTCCAGCATTCAAACTGATTTTTTTTTTTTTTTTTTTTTTTTTTTTTTTTTTTTTTTTTTTTTTTGAGACAGAGTCTCTGTCTCCCAGGCTGGAGGGCAGTGGCGTGATCTCGGCTCACTGCTACCTCCACCTCCCAGGTTCACGCCATTCTCCTGCCTCAGCCTCCCAAGTAGCTGGGACTACAGGCGCCCGCCACCACGCCTGGCTAATTTTTTGTATTTTTGGTAGAGACGGGTTTCACCGTGTTAGCCAGGGTGGTCTCGTTCTCCTGACCTCGTGATTCACCCACCTTGGCCTCCCAAAGTGCCGGGATTACAGGCGTGAGCCACTGCACCCGGCCGTCAAACTGATTTTTATTTGAAGAATTATTAATGTGTCTTCAAAGTAAAAGGAAGAACTCAGATGAATATTCACTACATTGAATCCCAGAGACTAGTCACATAGTAGACACTCCATGAATTGCTTCTCACCACAATGGCAGCCTTATTGTTTTTATTACATAAACAATGTATATATTTATTTAAAACTGTCATACTTTATAGAAAATATAAAAACAGTAGAAGTTACTTAAAATTTCATCAGCCTGAGCTATCAATACATTTTTGTAGCCATTTTTCCATGGAATTCTTTATCTATGCAAATAAAATTTTATATAACAGAAATCATACTTTACACACCCTTTTTATCGTAGATGAAGCTACCTTTGACTTTCTTTAAAATACAGTGTTTTTTCTTTCTTTTGGCTTGCTGCTTTCATCCCCCTCATAGCCAATATTAATAAACTTTCACATAATTTTTCTTATTGATATTTTCATGTAATAACTCATGTAATATGAATGAAGCTTCATTTGCTCAGTAAATACCTGCTGAATGGTTAAATAATGAAAGAACACACACATAAACACATAAGTGAATGAAAGAACAAATAATCAATTATGATCTTAATTAGCCAGTACAGTTTCTAAGTGATTGCAGAAATCCAAGATGACATCTTTTGACATCTCTCCTGCATCTTTTTTTTTTTTTTTGAGACGGAGTCTCGCTCTGTCGCCCAGGCTGGAGTACAGTGGCCAGATCTCAGCTCACTGCAAGCTCCGCCTCCCAGGTTCACGCCATTCTCCTGCCTCAGCCTCCCTAGTAGCTGGGACTACACGTGCCCGCCACCTCACCCAGCTAGTTTTTTGTATTTTTTTAGTAGAGACGGGGTTTCACTGTGTTAGCCAGGATGGTCTCGATCTCCTGACCTTGTGATCCGCCCGTCTCAGCCTCCCAAAGTGCTGGGATTACAGGCTTGAGCCACCGCGCCCAGCCTCTCCTGCATCTTTAAACTTTAGCTGGGGTAGGAGGACCTGGCTTTACCTGGTTCAGAGAGATCTGCAAGTCTAAACTCCCAAGAAAAGAATATGTAACTGGCTGCTGTCCTAACTAGAGAAATGCTATTAATCTACTCTCAAACTGAAATCAAATTCAAAAACCATTTACTAAGCACCTGTGTGACAAGAACCACACTGTCCTTTGTACGGTAAACTAGAGGGAAAGATGTGGTCACTGTCTTCCTGGAGTGTATGTCTTGTTGGGGAGATGATGTGCAGGATCTATGTCTTTAGGTCTAGGTATCTGAACTTGGACCTCAGTTGCCACATTCGTGAAATGGGGAAAATATCTATATGTTCATAGGATTGCTGTGGCGATCAAAGAACTTGAAGAATTCAGGAAAAACTTCACAGGAAAATGTGGACTGGAGGCAGGCCTTGTAAGTACCAGGGAAGGGGAAATAGCACACAGAGAGGCAGGGAAGCAGGAATGACCTGGAATAGTCAGGGTCCAGCACAAGCCAGTCTTAATGCTTTGAAGATCAGTTAGGAGAGACTTAGAAGATGCGAGGAGGACAGGCAGGAAACATGAAGGTTTATAAGCACAGGAGAAAACTGTGAACAGACTAATCTTCTTAAAGGGTCAAAGAAAGGAAATTTTTATTATTTATTTTTTTTTTTTTTTGCCTTTTCAGCATTTGCCAACGTCTACATCAAGGCCATTCATGTGAGTGACTCAAAGGCGACCTGCTTGTCAAGTAATTGGAAAAATAAAAAAAAATAAAAAAAATTAAAAAAAAAAAAACAAACCCTGGCTTGCATAGTGGGCTCAAATCCAAGTTTCTAAGACTTATAGGAAAAATTCTGATCGGAAAATTTCCATCTCAAATTGTGCTGAGGAAGCTTAAGGACTGAGTAAGCATGTTGGCAGCCGAAGTACAATACGATAATCAGACTGCTTTTGCTTTTCTTTTTTCTTTTTTTCCTTTTTTCCACAGTGCACAGAGATTTTCAGGTCCGGGTGGGTGCTTAGCAAGTTTGTGATCTCTGACCCCACGAGGGGTCAGAGAACCTATAGAAAAATATATCTTGTTCACAAATGGAGCTGCACCCAAAACTTCCCTCTGTATGGTATTAAGTGACCAGAGGGTCCTGACTTCTAAAACATAGTATGTCAGTTTCACCCAGGCTAATCCTACAGAATGGGAAAAGGGATTAGAAGTTAGTCATTGCAGGAGATGTCAGCTGGAAGCACTAAACTGTCCTAATCTCTTCTGATAGTTCAGGATTCTAGGGAAGCTCTTCTCTGCTTGTCATATCTTCTCCTTTTAAACTAGCACCATTAATGAATTCCAGGAATCATGTCCCTACGGATCTGTGCTACTCTAATTAATCCCACCTACATTTGGCTCCAAGACAGAAGAAGAAGAGGATGAAAAGTAGATTTTAATATTGTACCCCCAAATCTCCACTGAAACTTGGAGTTTCTAGAAGATGCTTTAACACTTTTAGTCCTCTGAGAAGGCAACTGGGTCACCTACTAACCACCACAAATATTTATCCATTAAACTGCCCATCCATCCATCCATCCGTCCATCCTTTAAATTTTATGTGCTACCCTGTGTATAATTTTTAAAATATCATATAAACTTTTTTAAATTAAAAAATGCCTCAAAGAGCTTAATTTATTTTTTCAATACCCCAAGACACTTCAGAGAGGAACAATGTTCTAAATAAATACTCAGGCCAACTGAATTGAGATTTAAAACTGACTCCCAACTGTAATCCCCAAAGACTGCTGAAATGCAGACAGCCAATATACTTTGAAAGTGGACTAAAAGTCACTCACTGAAAATATGGATAGAACAAAAGTGGAAAAGGATCATAGCAATTACAAAGGTATTCCTTGGGACAGAGACTTCAGAAGGGCATTTATTCCTATCATCTAGAAACATAATCGTTCATACCATTTAATCCAGTAATCCTGCCTTTAGAAACTTGTTCTAAAAAATAACCAAAGACATGACTTAGAGTCATGCTATTATTTATCTATTTCACAATTATTACAGCAATATTGGAAATAATCTAAACTTCCATCATTAGGTGGCTGGTAAAATTATGGTTCAACTATAGAATGTTAACTACAGTGGTAATTTATAAGATCTGCACTTTTCATTTAGATTAAACAATAGTGCCAGTTTTGGGAGAAGACTAGAGATGTCTGGAAGTCTCAAGTCAATGATAGTTAAAGTCTAATTTTTTTTCAGATTTGCCTGGGTTCAAATTGCGTTCAACCACACATAGTATTAACCAAAAAAAAAAAAAAAAAAAAAATAGTTAGCACAGTTTTCAGAAATGTCAAATTTGCACCCCATGAGAGACTAGCTCATTAAACAACCATCCTGGTCGTCATACTGGGGCAATCATTCTTTGAAGTTACCTACTCACCAGTTTGAAGAAAATTAACATTTCTGGGTCACCAGGTTCCATATACTCATCTACAAATGATGCCCTGGAACCATGAAAGTAATTTTATTTAACATAGGTGGGCAACTGAATCCCAGGGAACAAACTACTCACCCATGTGCTTAATGGCAGAGGCTGAGAACTGAGCCTGCCACTCCTCTCAGAAAGGGTCCAAGTACCTGGAGCTTTGAGGGGTAGAAGGGCAATGGGATCAAATTAAAATTCAATGGCCGTATCTTTGTGATTTTTTTTCTGATCTTCACGCCACGTAAGTTCCCTAGGATAAACTTAGGCACCTTGAAAATTTGTGACAATGTGAGGTGGAAGCAAAATATGCATAGAACAAATGTAGAAAACACCTACAGTCATTACAAAGGTATTCCTTGGGATAGCCATTTTAGAAGGTAATTTATTCCTATCATCTAGAAACATAATTGTTTATACCATTTAACCCAGTAAGCTACTTTTAGAAACTTGTTCTACAACATAACCAAAGACATGACTTTGACTCTATAACATAACCAGATATATTACTTACATATTTCAGAATTATTATAGCAATTACTGAAAATAACCTAAACTTTCATTATTAGGTGACTGGCAAAATTGTGGTTCAACTATAGAATATTACAGAAAATGCTAACAGTTTGCGTTTGGGGCAAAAGCAAACAAATAAACCCCATATAGGATGCTGTTTTGCATATAATTCTAGCATTCTCCGTTCATCTCTTTCACACACACACACACACACACACACACACACACACTGAGTGAGCCTGGAAGGAAATATAGCACATCAAAAATGTTTATAATGATTGTCTCTGGCATAGCTAGAAGGAAATTTGATTTTCTCTTTTAGACTTTTCTGTACAGTCAAAATTTTCATCAATGAACATGTACTTTATTCTTTTAGAGGATCTCTTCCTTCTCCTTTAACAGGTTTCATATTCATATTCACATGTGTTTTTTTAATGTATCTATTCCCAATAGAATGCAAGGTCTGTGAGAGCAGGGTCTACATTTAATTTTTTAAAATTTTATACCTAGGTTTTTTAGCATAGTGCCTAATATATAATTAATATTTTTAAAATAACTGCTGAGTGAACTATTGGACAGACACTGATTAGAAGGGATATGGCTATGTGTGAGGACTCTAATGAGCTGTCAAACATTCTGTTACATCTCTAATCTCCAGCTCACTTGTTAAAACAACATGCCATC